AGGCCAAGACAGGTCATAGGCCCTATGGGAAACCCTGTTGCCATTTTTCTATATTAAACCAACTCCTAATTACTTGTCATTTTACCCATAGATTAATACATTTCAACTCTCATCAGAAAAGCTTCTATTTGCCATAGATAGTGATTAATACAGAAACCAACAACCAGTCACAGTGAAGAGAACAGGTCCTCGTACTTGAATAAGAGACTCTAAGTGATCTCTCTGCCAAATACTGTAGACATCAATGGCTAGCCTCCCCTAATCATGCGTGTGTGTGTGTGTGTGTGTGTGTGTGTGTGTGTGTGTGTGTAAGAGTGATGCTCACACTGGTGTACCTAGACATATGTGGAAATGCATGTGGAGGCTAGAATTCAATGTCACGTGTCTTCCACAGTCACTGTCCACCTTATTTTTTGAAAAAGGATTTCTCATGAGCCATGTGCTTGCTGATTTGAGAAGACTGGCTGGTTAGTAAGCCCCAGTGATCCACACGTCTCCTCCTCTCCATTACTGGGTTTACAGGCATGCACCACCATGCATGGCTTTTTAAATGCGGGTTCTGGGGATCAAATATTTGTCCAGTAAGCACCTCACTCACTGAGACATCTTCCTAGGCCCCAAAGGCTACTTTGTAGTTTCTTTTTAGCTATCCTAATTTTTTCCCTTGAGAAGTTTCAAGACTTCCTCTTGACTGGTAAAGTCCAAGAAACTTCCTGGTCCGTTAAGTGTGTGTCTTTTTTGCTTTACACCTGTTCAACTCAGAGGAAACAGGAGGCAGCTATTGCTTTTTGCTTTAGCTGGCTTCCCTTCCCCTGGGAACTGTCACTGGCATGCTCACTGGGTGAGAGCTTGGAGCCGCTGTTAGGAGAGTTTGATTTCCTGCAGCAGGGCAGGCATCAGAACACTGCATCTCACCAGCCTGAGAGGGTGCAGGGTAGGGGAGCATGTGACCAGAACTGGGCCAATTAGAGAGTGTTTTTGAACACTGATGCAATGCTGAGAAACAAGACTATACTCTTCCTCTTTGGGGGTTAGAGAGGCTAGATGCGAGGATGAGGGAAGCTGGAAGCAGCAGAGACAGTCTTAAAGGACCACAGCAGACAGCCTGCCTGGGGAGCCAAGCCAGAGAGACGGACAGGGCAGTGGGGGGGAGGGGAAAAGAGGGTGGGGACATAGAGAGGGGGAGAGGGAGGGATGGTAGGATGGAGGGAGAGAGGGAGGGGGTAAGGAGGGTGGAAGAATGGAGGGAGGAAGGGAAGAGGGTGGAAGGGTGGATGGAGGGAGAGAGAGAGAGGGAGGGAGGGAGGGAGGGAGGGAGGGAGGAAGGGAGGAGATTTCCACTTTTGGTCTCTGGACCAAAGCTTGATTAACCAATGTATTCATTTCTTTCTTTGAGCCCTTAAAATTGGTTTCTATCAGATGAAACCGAAAGAGTTTCGATAATACAGTGGTCACCTTTAACTGGAAAATTCATATGGCACGGGGGAATTCTTTATTATCTGATGACTCCTCTTCAAAGGCTTCAGTTCTCCCTGGAAACTCCCGTCAGTCTGGGACTGGATTTCTGGGATCCACTTCGTCCTTTCTATCTTGCCCCTTTAAAAACATCACTCTGACGTTTAAATCCATATTCTGAGATATTGACTTTATTGACTCTTTCTTCCCTTCCCGGTCTTTTATGATGAGCTTCATTTTAGCCAACAAAATTTTAATTTCTAAAAATCTCTCTCACTTTTTTTCTCTTCAGAAACAGGGTTTCTCTGTGTAGTCCTGAAACTCTCTCTGTAAACCATGCTGGCCTAGAACTCGGAGATCCACCTGCCTCTGCTTCCTGAGTGCTGGAATTAGAGGTGTGCACCACCACTGCCCAGCTTTCTAAAAATCTTTTATTTCCCACTGTTTCATCTTTCTGGCTATGGTAAGCTGCTTTCAGTTTCATGGGTACAGTGCCCTCTCTTTAAAAAAAAATTTATTCATTAATATACATACAAATATATATGAATATGAATATATATTTAGTCTATAACCTCTTCCAAATCTTTAAATTCCTCCAACTGCACATTAAAAATACTTAGAATAGTCAGGCATGGTGGCATATGCCTATAGTCATAGCACTTGGGAAGCTGAGGCAGGAGGATTGAAGATTTGTGTGTGTGTGTGTGTGTGTGTGTATTAAATGAAGATACAGAGTTAGAGATATTATTGCTGTTTTTGTTCGTCTGTTTGGTTTTTGGTTTTTCAAGACGGAGCTTCTCTGTGTTGCTCTGTAGAACAGACTGGCCTTGAACTCACAGAGATCCACCTGCCTCCGCCTTGCTAGTGCTAGGATTAAAGGTGTGTGCCGCCATGCCTGGCCTCAGGCAATATTATAATCACTGTGACTAAAGTAAAAATGAAGGGCTGGAAAGGCGGCTCTGTGGATAAAGCGTACCTCTACTCTCTCAGCAGACCTAGGTTTGGTTCCCAGCACCCATCTGTGCCTCACAACCACCCTTAATTCTAGTTCCAGGGAATCTGGTGCCCTCTTCTGGCCTCCATAGACACCTGCAGGCAGGCCATGCATACACGTATGCTCAGACACACAGACCCATAAAATCAAAGCAATTCATTCACAAAAATAAGAACAAGCCGGGCGGTGGTGGCGCACGCCTTTAATCCCAGCACTCGGGAGGCAGAGCCAGGCGGATCTCTGTGTTCGAGGACAGCCTGGGCTACCAAGTGAGCTCCAGGAAAGGCGCAAAGCTACACAGAGAAACCCTGTCTCGAAAAACCAAAAAAAAAAAAAAAAAAAAAAAAAAAAAAAAAAAAAAAAAAAATAAGAACAATTGTAATAGCGGTATTTAAGAACATGTTAAAATTTCTAATAAGTAATGACAAAATTATGGTAAACACAGGGAATTACTTTTTTAAGAAGAAGTGAAAGTAGTTTAATAAGAGGAAGCATAAGGAGGATTTAGGGTTCTGGATTATGAAATGAGGACCTAGTTTACAGAGACTGAGCACTGTGTAATGAGCACAGTGCTATGAGCCCTTCTAAGACAACGCAACAGTCCCTGAGGGGGCACAAAGATGCTTGGAGTGGCTGCCAGTGCTGTGAGCCTCTCTAGGTCTGACTTTACCATTGCATCGCCATGCAAAATGGTGGAAGGGAAAACTCACGGATCAGCCAACAGCACTTAACGTGTTCTGGAACACCGCACTCCTAGGCAGCAATTGCATCTGAGAAATATGAATAATAGAACTGTATACCGCAGGGCAGACCAAGTACCATTCCTCTGTGGAGTCCTTCTTTTTCTCCCTGATGCTGCTGGGGATATCGGCAAGGCCCACACTCAGCAACGCCTGCTGGATTCCCTGTTTCATTTAGCAAGTTGTTCTCATGTGTGTGCATTTTTCCCCCTTCGGCTTTGACTCCAGTTATTCACAATTTTGACTCCCAGTGTATTTTCTGGAACCTTGGAGGGAGGGTCACCCTGTTCCTACTGCACAGCAAGAAGGTTGTGGAGATCATCGATGAACCAAAAGCGCAGCACACACTTACGTTGCTGTCAGCTCAAGGAAGAGAACCCTTAATTAGGCAGTCAATAAAAGGAAGCCAGCCCCACTTCCTCCCATGGTTACTCAGAAACCTCCAGCCTCTGTGCTCTTGGGTCCCTGTCTCTTTGCGGTCCTGGTCTTCAGCAGTCTGCAGACAGCCAGACCAGGGCTGCAGTGCTGGGGGGAAAGTGGGAGAGAATTCTGAAGAGGCAAGAATGACATAAATAATTCAGTGATTGCTGACCACGGACCATTACATTTCCCATGATCTGTTTTACTGTAGCTGTTATGCGGCGTTAGTCACTGCCAATTCCATTGCAAACGAGGCGTTTCACTGAGCCTAAAGGAGCTGGCCATCGCTCCCAAGATCCAAGACCATGACAGCACTGGCCTTGAGCTTGGCGAGGCCTCATCCTGAAGGTAGCCAAATGGATTCACAGCACAGCAGGTGCAGCAGGCTTCTCCCGACTCCATTCTCTCCGGGGCCACTTACAGTAGGACTGCCACCTTGACCCCACCCCGAGACCCTGTTGGTCTCTCCAGTGGTCAGAAAAGACATGGCATGCTGAGGGGAGGAACATTTAAAAGGTTCATTTGTTCCATGTAAACGATAACAATTACCAGGACTACTGTGCATATCTGTGAGTGTGCATACATGGGTGTTGTCTGCAGACCAACATAGTTTGTGTGTGTGTGTGTGTGTGTGTGTGTGTGTGTGTGTGTGTGTGTGTAAGACAGAGGGAAACTTTGAGTGTTGTTCCTCAGGACACCACCTAGTTTGTTTTTTGAGGCAGGGTCTCTTGCTGGCCTGACGCTCACCCTTTGGTCTGGCTGGCCCCCAATAGGTTCTTCATTTGCCAGAGCAAGTCTGTTGCCCTTTTTGGCCTCAGTTTCTCTACTGATTGTGGGGCAGACTAGAGGAGTTTGAAAGTTCTGTGTGGCCCGGCTATGGTGTCACTGATTAGGTCATGTGCCGGTGTGCTCCTGGGCACTGTTGTGGGACTCCAGGAACTCATGAACTGATGGTTAAATGAGAGACTTGGTGTCTCTCCTCACCGTGGGGACTGCCCCGATGCTGCCCTTGGTGTTTGTTACACCAGGCTGTCAGTCACAGAGGCACTGTCTGCTTAGCCCGTCCCCATCTTGACTTCCCTTTCTCCTTCCCTTTTCCTTAAAGTCACCTTTATAAACAAGGGTGATGGACCCTCCCGGAGTAACAGTGTCCAGGCTGGGGATGTCACCCACTCCATGCTTTGGCTGTGGGCAGCTGGGGATCAGCTCCACTGTGTGTGTTTGGTGAATTTCCCAGCTGATTCCCATGGTGAGTGAGGTGTGAGTTCAATAGGTCTGACAGCAATTGGAAGCTTCTAGGCTCCCCTCAAGCTCCTCCCCTCAACTCCCCCACACACTGTGAGTGGGCTAGGTTCTGTTTCTGGAAATATAACCAGGATATATACCTTTATTGCTTGGTTGCCATCTACCAGAAACCTCTGGGCCATGTGGAATCGAGCGGGTCCCCATTCTGAGCGAAGAGGAGCTTTGATGTTGCCATCCAGCCTTTCCTCCTCATGGTGGCTGTTTCTTGGAACTTAACATGAGCTGAGCTTTGCAAGGGGTGGCATTTAACTGGATGTGGGGAGGAGAGCAGTGAGTTATAGGCTAGGGGACCCAGAGGGGGGAAAGAGGACACTGACAGGACATGGGCCCCCTCTCTCTCGCTTGCCTTCACCATCCGCTTATCCACTCCTTCATTTCTCATCTCTGCATTCTCCAGTCATTTCTCATGGAGCCCCTGCTGTGTTAGACACAGGGCTGACCCCTGACAGAAGGATAGTGGACCAGCTCAGAACCCCTTCCTGTTCTCCAGCCTAGGCGGGAAGACAAAAGTTAGTCATATGGACACACCAGTAAATGTATAGTTTTAGCTGGGATTGGCATCATGAATGGCACGTTACTTTGGGACTAGGGAGGAGGCTGACCTAGTTAGGGAGGTCAAGGTAGGCTTCCTTGACATTGAAAGCATGGGCTGGAGGGAGAATAGGAGTTAACTATAGGAAGGGGAGAAGGAAGATCATTCTAGATTTAGGAGCTGGCATATGGAAATGTTCTGGCCACGGCAGAAAGAAGCTTATCTGGCACGAGGGACCTGGGTCTTTGACTCCAAAATAATGAGAAATGACTGTTAGCTTGTAAGGCCATGGCTGCTAATATAGAATAATATGCCTTATTCTAGCACCATGGTTCAGGCAGCAGGTGAAGAACAAATCACAAGGGGCCTCAGGGAGTGTGGGAAGGGAAGTTAGAAGGCCACCGCAGTTATCCAGGAAGGGACAGGCTCAGGTGGCAGGCATGGAACTGAGCCAAAGAAGCTGACTAGGGCGTGTGTGTCAAATCCACGGGGGTTGGGGTGCAGTGGTCATGGAGGGCAAAGGAGAGGCTGAGCCCACGCTGCTCTGGGATCCCACATCTGAGTAGACGCTGTTACCTTCTCCAGAGCCAGAGGAGAGCCAGGAGAGCCAAAGGTAGCCCGAGGCCCACGGGAAGGAGGGAGGCTGAGTCTCAGGATGTCTATGCAGCCCAGAGGAATCTGGAGCAGGGTTGACTAGGCCAAGGTGGGGGAAGTAACTAACGAGATGTCAAAGGGGATGGGTGTACCCCGGAGAGGTAGTGAAGTGGGGAGAAATAGAGGCCGCACCTTGGAGGGAGCAAGCCCAGCCACTGAAATAAAAACATGCAGGCCCAGAAGGGGGTGTGTGGCTTTCCAGAAGGGAAGCATCCTCTGCTGTGGGACGGTCTGTATGTCAAATTGCTCTGATTGGTCAATAAATAAAACACTGATTGGCCAGTGGCCAGGCAGGAAGTAGGTGGGACAAGGAGAGAGGAGAATTCTGGGAAGCGGAAGGCTGAGGCGGAGAGACACTGCAGCCGCCGCCATGACCAGCAGCATGTGAAGACGCCGGTAAGCCACCAGCCACGTGGCAAGGTATAGATTTATGGAAATGGTTAATTTAAGATAAAAGAACAGTTAGCAAGAAGCCTGCCATGGCCATACAGTTTGTAAGCAATATAAGTCTCTGTGTTTACTTGGTTGGGTCTGAGCGGCTGTGGGACTGGCGGGTGACAAAGATTTGTCCTGACTGTGGGCAAGGCAGGAAAACTCTAGCTACAATCCTCTCTGATGGCTCTTCCTGGACAAGAACCTGGACCCTGGGGTCGGCAGCTGTAGTGACAATTCCTGCTGTCACCTTGCCTACATCTGGAATTAACTAAAACCCAAGCGGCTGTGTCCACCCGTGAGGGGTTTTTTTCTTTGTTAAATCATTTGAAATAGGAAGAACCACCTTTAATCAAGATCTTTTGAGGTGGGAAGATCCACCTTTAATCTGGGCCACACTGCCTCCTGGCAGACTATATAAAGGACCTGGAAGAAGGAAGCTTTTGCTCTTTGCCTGCTCGCTCTCACTCTTGCTGGCCAGTCCGTTCCTTCACTGGTATTAGAACCTATTTCTTTGGAGTTCTGGTGTATGCTGAAGACCAGCTAAGACATCCAACCTCATGGACTGAACAACTACTGGATTCTTGGACTTTCCGTAGGTAGACAGCTATATATTTTCATTCTCTCAGCTCTGTTCCTCCAGAGAACCCTGGCTAATACAGCTGGCTTCACCTGGTAGCATCCCCGGCCTGGACTTCCTTACTCACTCCGGGATGCTGACACTCCATGCCTGTCTCCCTGGGTCTGACCTAGCACTCGGCCATCCTTGACCAGAACGCACATGGACATGGCATCCAGGCTGAAGGAAGGGTCCTCACAGGTTCCTGTGGACATGGCATCCAGGCTGAAGGGCCCTCACAGGTTTCTGTGGAGCCTCCAGGAGGAGGCGTTTGTCCAAACTGGGGAGTTTGGACACTCGAGTTGAAAGAACAGGCAGGAGGAAGAGGTGCTGGAAAGGGATGCTTTCCAGGGGGAGTCATCTTAAAGTCACCTTTAAGTCCCGTGGTCTCTCTTCTTAGTCCCCAGCATCCACTCCCATCCACTCACTCCTTCAAGGAGAAAATAGAAACCACGGCTCAACATCATCGTGCAGTTTTGTGGACTGACACTCAAAACTGTGTGTCTGTGGGCTCTGATGGAGCCTGGAATCTGCCACTCAATTCTATTCACTTCCATTAGGGTCACGTCAATTCAATTCAGCGCAGTCAATTCAAATTAATCCAAGAAATTAGGGAGGGCCTCCTGTGCTGAGCAGGGTAGGGGACAGGTCACCGCCAACTGACGTGACTGGTATCCAGGGAGAGACACTGGGTGGCAGATGGCAGGTCTTCTGTGCCAAGAAGAGAACCGGTCAAGGCTGGCATTTCCCAGTGCTCGCTTCCAGAAAAGATGGTCCTTGTATCCTGTTGGCCAGGCTGGTGAGTCACTGAAACAGGAGGGAGAGGTTGCGTCATGGAGATGCAGAAGGTGAGCCAGACGGATGTACACACTCAGGTTCAGGTAAGACGGTGTGTTGCCCAAACCTCTTCCTTGCTGATGACACTCTACAGGAGGATCCTCTTCCTCTCACCTGGCCTGGAACCCACCTGCTCTACCCACCGGGCCTTCTCCCACTGGGCATCTGAAGGGAATCAAACTGAGAGGAGACCCTGGCTCTGGGGCATAAGCCACCAGCCACCAGCTCTGCAGATGCAAGGTAACTGTTCGTTCTAGCCACGGAAAGGCTGTGAACAGAGCACAGAGCTGGGCCAGAGCTGCATACCCACCTGCCCTACAGGCTCAGTGCTCCTGAAGCCAAGCCCCCTTTCTTAGGCATGCAGTCCAAATATCTTGTTGAAGGTGTCACCCTCATGCATCTTCCATGGGGACTATTTTGCTTTATAAAATAAAAGGACATCAGTAAACCCTGCCACATTGCATATTGGTGGTTCAGATGTAGCCTGTATCCAAGCAACTCAAGTTCTCGTTATCACATTCTTCATTCATTCATTCATTCATTCAACAAATTGTTTTTAATAAAGCCACATGAAGTGCCCAGTGAGGGGTACAATGGAGGTCCATCAGATGCCCTGGGGAGAGGCATCACTCTTAGAACATGGAGCATCTCTGAGTGACACAATGTTCTGTGGTCCCATTTCTTCCTTGGCCTCTGTGAGTTAGCAGCAGGGCTTCCTGCCCCCGGGCCGGATATGTGCTGTGCCTCCCCCTTCAGGGCTTCTGGACCAGCAAGCTTTTCTTGGGTTCATGTGATAAACAATCAAGTGGAGACTAGGGGCCAGCTCTGAGCCTAGAGGTGCGGTGAGGATGCCATAAGGACCAGTCTGGTAAGGGAGGCTCAGCCATCCAGCACCAGGGAGAGGAGACAGGGATCCCCTGCTGAGGTTCCCTCTCTGGACTTGGATTGGGTGTTTCTGCTGAGTGATGCTGTTTTCTCCTGGGCTCTAGTGCTCAGCCACGGTGTTTCTGGAGAGAGAGGACTGAGCACGTGGGCAGGGTGATGGACAAGTGTGTGCGGAGAGTTGTAGGCACTGGAGATTTGTGAACATGAGCTCTTGTTATGGACTAGCTCATTCCCTGTCTCCTTGGCCTTTCTGGGCTTTCTTGTTGCTACCACCTCTTTCTTGCCTGTGACCTCTGCCTAGTCACCTGCAGAATGATGTCTGGGTCTGTCAGTGTGCTGGTCAGACCCTAGGAAGTCTCCCTCAGCCACCTGCCAGGATCAGGGGTTGCTGGAAGCCAGAGCTACCATCCCCGCCAGACTCTAGCTGAGATGGGACATAGCTCCCCTTTGCCACAGCGTGGATGTTCAGCCCCCTCTGGACCTCCGTACTCTGTACAGAGTAGTGGGCACTCTGAACTGCCATGCATGAGCAATGCTTGCCGGCCACAGTCTAGCTTAGACTTTGGCTGTTTGTCCTTAGCTCCACTTCCTCTTGCTGGCTCCCTGTTCCTGTCTTGGCTCAATCTCCCCCATCCTCTCAGCGCTCAAGAGCACTGGGGTTTCATCTCTAGTAGAAATGAGACCCCGATCTCAGATGAGGGAACTACAGAGCCCCCATCTAATTTATAGCGAAGGAAACAACTGGGAAGACCTCACTCACTGGGAATTCGGAATTGAACTTATTTTTCTTCCCCGAAGTTTTTGAATTTGTGCTTGTGACCTGAGACCAGAGGAGGATGTCCAATGTCCTTCTCTGTCAGTCCCCACCCTCTTCTCTTGAGACACCATGTCTTACTGAACCTGGCAGCCAGTAAGCCCCAGGCATCCTTCGGCCTCTGATCTCCCACCCCACCCCAACACTGGGATTATAGGTGCACACAGCCACCCCTGGTTTTTCATGTGGGTGCAGAAGATTCAAACCCAGGTCCTCAGGCTTGCACAGCAAGAGCTCTTACCTGCTGAGCCTTCTCTCCAGCCCTGAGCCTTTGAAGTTTAAAGAAGGCTGCAAAGGGAATGTGTGACCCAAATAACGACAAATGACAGAGGAGAAGTAAACCTGCTGTTGCTGTCACAGAGACAGGACTCATTCCTTTAGTGCACGGGCTTTCTTGCCTAGCAACAAGAAAGAGCCAACAAGCCAATTAAAAAATAGGCCCGATATAGGGAGACAGCTTTCGAAAGAGTACATAAATGGCCCTCAAACCTATGAAAAGTTACTCAGCCTTACTCATAAAAGAAATGCAAATTAAAACTTCAATAAGAGACCCTCTTTCAACCATCAGATTGAGAAAGATCAAAGGCGCAGCAGCACTCTGGGGCTGAGGGTGAGGGCACAGGCGCTGGCTGGCAGGAGGTGGGCAGGAGTGGGAGGCAGGGGCACCTCTGGGGAGAACCACTGGGCAACATCTGCTCCGGCTGCATGTGTCCTTCCCCGAGGCCCGGCACACCCTGCTTTAGGGCCATGTCACACAGTCCTAAAAGTGGGAAGTGTGTACGACGACACTGCTCACCGCAGCATTATTTATAAGAGCGAGCAAGAGCTTGGCATTCACCGCAGAGGTTATCAACAGGGAACTAAGTAAATCACCAGTGTGGTGCCTGCGAGCGGTTTCTCCACAGCCGTGAGGAAAGGGCCGCACAGAGGACCTCACTGACCACACAGAGTAGGAGCTTTCCCAATGGTGCCTAATGAACTCACAGGACCATCCTGAAGACCAGTTGTTGTTTCAAACCAGTTTAAGGGCTGGGGAGATAGCTGAGTGTAGAGTGCTTGCCTTGAGTTCACTTCCCAGAATCCCCACGTTAAAACAACAGCAACAAAAACAACCCTGAGACTGGTGGTTCCTGCTTAAGATTCCAGTGCTGGTGAGAGGGGCCCAGGCAGGTCCCTGGGACTCAAGGGCCACCAGTCTAGCCTACTTGGAAAGTTCTAGGCCACTGAAAGCCCTTGTCTGGAAAAAGAAATAAAGAGCAAAAAGGTTGACGGAGCTTGAGGAATGACACCCAGTTTGCCCCCTGGCTTCCACACACAGATCCGTATATGTGCTCGTGCATCCGTCTGTTCACACACACAAATACATGTGCACCTACACAAATTAATAGAAAAAAAAAAGCCAGTTCCTTTTCTTTTAAAGAAAGAAAAGGAGTCTCAATCTAATCCCATAAGGCTGCAGGTTCGGCAGTCACACGTTGCTTAGTGACGGGGATGTGTTCTGAGAACTTCGTCACAAGACAGCTATTGTATAAACATCATAGAATGTGCTCACACAAATCAATCAAGAGATGCTGGAAAACACAAGATGTGTGAGGCTGTTGCTGGCGCAGTGTGGATTACTATTTTGTAAAAGCATTTTTTTTTAAAAGTAGGAAGATATTCCAAAATGATTTCAAAAGAGCTGGCAAGCTGGCTCAGCCAGTAAAGGTGTCTGCTGCTAAGCCGGATGACCCGAGTTCTGTCCCTGGAACACACATGGCCGAAGGAGGGAAGTGACTCCCAGAAGTTGTCCTCCATACCTACACCATGGTACGTGCTCCCCACCCCAAATAAATAAAGTAATTAAAAATTGATATTATGATAAAAGCATTGCATAGTAAATACATAAGTTAGTAACGTGACTGGTTGCTATTATTATTAATTCTTAGAGACTGTCCACAGTCGTGTGTGCTATGTTTAAACAGGATGGGTGGTGCGAGGGTTTATTCACATTAGAGTTGCCACGCACCTGTGAGGAACGCACCATGTTTCAACCTTAGGATGGCTTTGATGATTCCGGGTGACAGGGAATTTTCAGTTCCATCATTATTTCATGAGACGACTGTCAGAGACATGGACCATTGTGACATTGTTGTCTGGTGTGTGACTATATTTTGACACATTACCATTTGTGTGAAGAGAGAGGAAAAGAATCCTCTCACACATATGTGGACATATACAACCTCGCCATGATTTGTAAATGAGAAAGACAGTATAATGTTTGGTAAGAGTGATATCTCCAAAAAGTGCTCCAGTGCCCAGGATCTGGACAGTGAGGAGGACAGGGAAAGAGGCTGGCTGTTATTGACTGATCCATTGATTGACTCGTTGATCCATTGATTGACTGGCTGATTGATTCAGATAGAGTCTCATGGGGTCCAGACTAACCTCAAACTCATTATTTAATCAGGGATGACCTTGAACTATTTATCTACTTGTCTCTACCTTCTGAGGGACAGAATAAAGGTGTGCACCATCTCTCCACAGTTTATGTGTTGCTGGGCATAAAACAAGGCTTCATGCTTTCCAGACAAGTGGTCTACCTACTGGGCCACATCTGCAGGCCTGGTTCTCACTACCTGTCTTTCTGTGGCTTCTCACTTTTTGTACCACTTTCTGCATGTTCCATGCTAAACACACATATTCACACTAGTGTGTTTAATTCACTAGTTAGTCAGTCGGTGGTCTCTTGGTACAGAGACACACCAGGGTGAGAGCCCTCTCTTTGGGGCCATAGAGTAAAGGCTTAGGAAGTTTCTCAACTACCCCATCCCCCCTCCCAGCACACAGCTGTAGGTCTAGGTTTGACCAGATTGCCTACCCTTCCCTGTTGCATTGGCTGGATGTGGCTAGGTGTGGCTAGGTGGCAGAGCCTGATTTGAAGATAGACACTCAGTTTGGTGGGTGGAGTTGGAGGATGCCAAACAGACTTGCCATCCGAAAACCGTTTCTCATCCGAGAGACATCAGGCAAGTCATACCCCAACTCTGAGCATCAGTGTTTTTGTCTGTGAAGTGGGGAAAATGGTATCTTGTTCCTAACTCCAGGTGCCTCAAAGACCTTAGGTGAAAAGGGTCTGTATGGCAGATTTGTAAACTCGGACGCACCTACTCCTAGATGGGTAGACTTCCAGAGGACCAGCCTATGGCCAGAGATGGGTGTGGAGGGCTGCTCAGACCCGGCAGAAAGAGGAGCAGGTGAGTCCACCATTGAGAGACATCTCTCAGGCCACACAGAACCAACCCTGGGTTCTTCTAGCTCTTTTTTTCACTTATTTTTGCCACTTGGATGTCACCCTGGCTTTCTCTTCAGAAGAGCGGAGAGGGGTTTATGGATACATTGTATAGTCACAACCTCAGCCCCAAAGCACCTAGAGGTGGTTTGGGGCTCAGGAGGGACCGCTGCGCTCCAACCTGTGGTTTCTGATGCTCTATGAATTCAAGAGACACTTCTCTGGTAAAGACCTACAGAAAGCATCTCTGATAATAGTGTTTTTGCTTTCTCCAAGTCATTTGGATGCAGAGCCAATCCCTCCATAGTGGCTGGGTGGGCAAACCTAATGTGCAGAGGCTTCTGGGGGACAAAAGGGGACTTAGGGTTCAGTTTGTGTGCATAAAAGTAACTTGCTTACCACCTGATCAGACACCCAGTGGGAGCTTTCCTTGGCAACCATGGTTGTTCAGCATCTTCTGGGAGAAAGGCTTATTAGCTCCATCTTCTAGATATGGAAGCTGAGGCATAGAGATGGCACAGCAGGAAATCACAGGGCTGGATGTGGAAGCAGGCAGCCTGGCTCAGTCAGCTGGGGGAGCGTGGGCACTAGGTGGGTGGCCACTGGCCAGGGCCCCCTAGACTCTCCCATCTACCACCTCTCATCTCTGTCAGCTGGATGGGGAGGGAGCAGACCAGGGTCTATTCTCTCCCCAAAGCCGTCAGAACTCCCTGGAACCTCTCAAGGGTGAGTAGCCTGAGTCAGCAGCCTGAGTCTGGTGTGGGCCTGTGTTCTGCATCTTTGGCCCAGAGGGATTTGCAAAGGAGGGGGGGGGGGCTGGCGTTCCACCTCAAACAGCAGAGTTGCTTGCCGGTGCGGGATTCGGGATGTGCTGGCAAGCAGGCATGGTGGTGCAGCCCGAAATCCTAGCACTCAGGAAGGCAATGATGGCAATCAGTGGGATCTTAGTAAAGGAACCAATCAGCCAGAGGCAGGAGGATCAGAAGCTCAAGGTCATTCTCAGCTCCATACCAAGTTCAAGATCCACCTGGCCTACATGAGACTGTTTAAAAACACAAAATGGTCTAAGGAACTGGGTAGGTTGGGCATGGTTTCTGCATCATGTGGCCTCTTGCCAGTGTCTGTCCTGTGTCATCCTCCAGGGCCCGTAGGCACCAGTGCCCTTGACCCCCATGTTAAGTGTCAGGCTTCCGGTCTGGAGGAGGAAGTCCTGCTGAGCCAGGCCCTGTACGCTCTTTCTTTGGGGAGCAAATCCAGCCTCAGAAGGAAGTCACTTGCCAGGTCACCTGACATTGAGGCAAGGCCACAATGAGATTCAGGCTCTCAGGAGAGACCTTTGCTCTGTCCTGGTGAGTGGGCTGCATTCTGCCGCATCTAGAATTGCCCCAAGCCTTTGCCCACCCCCTGATGACCCCTCCCTACCTCAGAACCCGGACAAGGGATTCTTCTCACCCAGGTGTACTTTTCCTGGGTTCATTTACATAGGTCTTCTCGGCTCTACAGCTCTGTGGTTGCTTCTCCTCTGGGCCATTGTGACCTCAGGAAGGGCTGCATGTGGCTGGCTCCACCTGCCGCTGAAAGGCAGACCACAAAAGCCACATCCAGGAGTTCTTCTGAGGGGGCATAAGGTCATAGGGCCACCTCCGTGGAGAGAACCTGCCTGACCTCCAGCCCCACCCCTCTTCGAGAAGAGCAATGCCTGGGGCAGGAAGGAGCCGGTCCACCTGCCCCCTCTCTGCCCATTCAAGTCTCTGCAGGTAGAGCCTCACTGTCGAGGCCTCTGGATCTGCCACACCCACTTCACCAGGCATCCTTTAGGCCAAACTCACTCGTTGGACTTTCTCCAACCATCACTTCAGCCTTCATCCGTTTTTCCATCTCTCCCTGGATCCAATTCGTCTAAGCACAATCTCACTCTCCTCAGAGGGTGGCAAGGGCTTCACCCTCCATTTTCCTCAGCTACCTAGGGTCTTCTCCGGCTTGCACCACGCTCCCTCACCAGGCAACACGGGGCGGGGGTGGGGTGGGGTCGGTGGGTGGTGGTGGTGGTGGCTAAAGCAGATTTGAAGAGTTTCCCATAGGATGGAGCAGGTTCACGCTGTGAAGCCTCAGTCACATAGTCTGAGAGGCAATGGAAGAGAGTCTCCCTCCCTGCAGGAGGGAAGGAGGCTGAAATGGTCTCCCAGCAGGGTCATCCTGAGATTCTGATATAGCCTCCAGGGGTCCCCGTCCCCTGGGCAGGTCAAGTTGCAACCCTGCATTGAAATCACCCTTACACTACTTACAAACAAAGAGTCTAATTCTTTAGCCTAATCCTCAAGACTTCCACCCCTCCGCCTCAGCCTCTGAGCGCTGTGATTACAAGGGTGTTTCATCACAGGTTTGGACTACTTGTGATCAACCTGTTGCAACAATTATGACTACACTGTGCAGTTGTAGACCTGGTTTGAAGACAGAGCTATTTTCCCAACAGTCCCATGAGACAGCCATGATGGTAGGTAGCACTTAGTCTCACCAGGCCGGGGACTTCCTAAGGTTTCACGCTGAGTCCTATGGATTCAAGTCTGCCAGTTTCCCTCTTGACTTATGTGTGCCTGGGAGCCTTGAAGTCACGTGAGTGGTGACCCCAGAAAGAGCCTGTGCTTTCATTTGTACCCAGCTATGTGACTGACTACCAGCTGGTCCTTTGACCTCCCTGGGACTCATCTGGAGAAGGATGTGACTTACTCAGGTTCTCTACAGAAAGAGGACTAATAGCATGAGCATATATTACATTATATTGCATTACAAATGAGGGTACGTTAAACTGGTTCTCACAGAGCGTGGGTTAGGTAGTCCAGCAATGGTGCTCCCACACTAGAGAGGCAGGGAATCTATAACGACGAATGCCTTATCTGTCCCAGTCAGGCACTGAAGGCCTGGAGGACTCCTGGAGAGCCACGGTTCTTCAGCCAACACTGGAATGATGTCAGGAAAGAGGGCAGTGGCCGTGTGCGCGCGCGCACGCGCGGCATCAATACGGTAGAAGGACTCGCCACCAAGGAGGAAGGCAGGCGACCAAAAGCAGCAGCTCTCCCCTCAGGCCTCTTCATATTGCAGAGTCACTGCCCACCTCACAGAGAGGTCCTTCTCCACTCAGCTAATCTTTCCAGGAAATAACTCAACGTGAGCAGGTTTCTGACCAGGGGTGTGTCTCTTAGAAGAGCTTGGATCCAGTCAAATTGACAATCCAGATTAGCCATCACAGGAGGGCTCTTAAGAACATTAGCACATTCTGGCCTCCTACTGTGTTCTGAAAACCAGGTGGCTAACACAATCCCTGTTGACACATCCTTCTTTACAGGGACAAATCCTGGTCTCATCCTGCTGTGTGGGCAACAGCAGCCCCTTGCGTTTGCGGGGCAGTAATTGAATGTTCTTGTGTGCTGGATCCTGCATGGTCCTCCTGGGACCTTGTCACAGTGGGATTATTTTCTGCACTTGGCAGATAAGGAAACAGAGAGACTGGAAACAGTGTCATTGGGAGAGGATCACTGTATGAGCTCCCAGCGCCAGGAGATTTGGGGGCACCACATCCCCGGTGCCATATTCATACTTCCAAATCTGAGATTGAATTCCCAAAACCTCTCATACCCATGCCAAATGGATTGTCATCCACCTGCTTGGGCCTAGCATGGCGTGAGTGCGTGTGCACGTGTGTGTTCACAGCATCTGCCTCCTTGGGAAGGCAGTTTTCCTGCTCTTTCCATCCCTCACTGGCTGTCCCAGAGTGGCCTCTGCCACTCTGTTGTTTAATGTAGAAACAGACCCGAGAAGAGGCCAGGCTGAGATCAAGAAACCAGGAACTACAGGTTAAAGAGTCAGTGAAGTATTTGCCATGGAAGAAGGGAGACCCAAGTTTGGACCCTCTGCATCCCAGGCGAGCCCAGGTGCTCAGACAGCGCCTGTGTGCTGTATAAGCCAGGCTTGGGGGTTAGAGAATCTTTTTTTGAAGACCAGAGAGGAAAGTTGCTTCAAGGATTTGGGACCAGTATAAGCAAGAATTTGTTTAATTACATGGTACAGATGAAAGGGGACCTAAGTGGCAGTCAGGACCCCATGGTTCTTACCTAGAGATCATGCCCTCTCTGTGACTCTCAGGGAATAAGCGGAGATCTATGTTAACTTTACCATGCCCTCAGATCTGAGCACGGTTCTAAGGCATTCCCTGGGTTATTTGGCTTAATCCTTATCACCTCCTGCAGGAAGTGTTGCAAGCACCTGGGACTCAAGCCTCAGGGGGGCTGAGTGGCTTGCTGGGGTTACGTGGTTTTTAGAAAGGAGACTGTGAATGTGCTTACAGGGCTGGCCTGATGTGCTCTCTGCCTTGCTACTTTAGACTTCTAACTTTAGGATCTCAGAGTACCTGGGCTATGGTGGGCTAACTTGGGGGCCAGCACAAACCTGCCATTGGCTTCTGTCCTGGTTAGTTTTCATTGTCGATTCGACACAACCTAGTGTCACCTGGAAAGAAGGAACCTCAATAGAAGGCTGGGGTCAAATTGGCCTGAGGCCATGTCTGTGAGAGGTTATCTTAAATGATGATTTGATGTGTGTGTGTGGGGGGGGGGCGGGCAGCCCAATGTGGGTGGCACCATCCCTAGGCAGGTGGACCTGGGCTATATAAGAAAGCTAGCAAGGCGGAGAACAAGCCAGCAAGCAGCATTCCTCCATGATTTCTACTCTGGATCCTAGTCCTCCCTTCCCTCAGTGATGGACTGTGACCTGGAAGTGGAAACCAAATAAATCCTTTCCTCCCCCAAGCTGCTTTTGGTCAGGGTAGTGTTTCACCACAGCAACAGAAAGCAAACTAGAGCAGACTGGTTAATAACAATGTCTCCATGGTAACCCCTGAGCCTGGGCTGCCAAGGAGCTCTGTTGGAGCATGACCCCGAAGGTGCCCATCTGGATGTATGGAGAGTCCCAGGCCTGAGAAGGGCTTCATCTACCCAAGTTCTGAGTGAACAGGTGCCACTTAAGCCCTCCGGCTTCATCTGTCCCTGAGCGCACAGGAACACCATGGGGCATGCTGCCTGGGGTCAGGCAGCAAACCGAAGGATGGGGCAGCTGATGCCACCATCCAGAGCCGATGCCAGCATGCCAGGGTGTCATAAAGCCCAGTCTAGCACAGCAAAGTGGCAAAAAAAAAAAAAAAGCCAGAATAAAACTCCCATCTATTTAAAAGAGTAACGATGGGAAGAAATACATTTTCATCAGCTCGTCTTCCCGCAGCTGAATCCCGCAGCAAGCTCCCGATTCCAACGTTGGAAAATAAATCAAAATAACTTTGCTGTGTTTAGCCTCATTCTGCCGCGCCTCTCGGCTCCGAGTTAAAAAGCAACAGGTACCGTGGTGTCTCCCAGAAACACAGGAATGGTTTTAAAATGCAATTATGGGGGCTGGTGGAAAGGAAGGGGAAAATGTTTTTCTTCGATTGATGTATGATTGCCCCCATGCTGCTTGGAATCGTATTTTCCCTGGCTCGGCTAAGAAGTGCTATTTACAGGGAGTCTGACAGACGGAAGCGATTGGGGCTGGCAGGTCTAAATGTATTATTTTAGCAGGTCTCCAAGGAGAGATTCCGGGAGGGGCGCTGGCCTTTTAAAGTGCAGAGGACGACGGGTCTTCTCAGCGGTCCCTCCAGCTTGTCAAGACCACTCAGCCAGCCTGGCGGTGGCAGTGAACGCCCCCCACCCTCCTCCCTGCGGACCTGGGCTCCCACTTGACAGATGTCATCACTCATCAGCAAACCTACTGAGGACATCACAGTAAACCCGCGAGCCCTGGCTCTTCGCTAGGCACTGCAGGGCTGCCACAGGGCTCTGACCACACAGAGCACAGAGGAGCCTAGGCTCATGGGGAGAAAGGGGACAGAAGCTGGTCAGGAAGGGCGGGGATAGGGACTGAGGAGATGTCTCAGTGAGGGGGATGCTTGCTTTGCAAGCATGATGGATGACTTGAGTTCGAATCCCCAGCATCACATAAAAAGTCTAGTGGGGCTGTAAGTCCCAGCACTGTGAATTGGAGGAGACAGGATAATCAATGGGTAAGCCTACCTTCGGTCCAGGGAGAGACTCCATCTCAATGGAATAAGATGGAGATTGATAGAGCAGAATACCCGATGTCCTCTAACTTCTACCAGTGCCGTGACGCACACATCTGCACATAGAGGTGTACACACAAACATAAAAACCCCACAAAAGAAATTGGAGATGGGAGAGGAGGGCATACATAATGCAGGAAACCTGGATCATTCGATACAAGGCCCCACAGGGTGTTGGGAACTAAACTCGGGTCCTCGGGATGTACAGTTCACAAGGCTCTTAGCCACTGAGCCTTCTCTCCATCTCCACCCTGTTTTAGCTCGTCTGACACACAGTGCAGCAGCTCTTTGGCCCAAGCTGGCCTTCGAACGCACTCTGTAGACCAGGCTTGCCTCGAGTGGTCATCTTCCGGC